AGGGTAGATGGGTATTTTATGGGGGTAGATGAGTATTTAATGGCTACAGTATATGGTAGATGAGTATATTATGGCTACAGTATAGGGTAGATGAGTATTTTATGGCCACAGTATAGGGTAGATGGGTATTTTATGGGGGTTGATGAGTATTTAATGGCAACAGTATAGGGTAGATGAGTATTTTATGGCTACAGTATAGGGTAGATGGGTATTTTATGGGGGTAGATTGGTATTTTATGGGGGTAGATGAGTATTTAATGGCTACAGTATATGGTAGATGAGTATTTTATGGCTACAGTATAGGGTAGATGGGTATTTTATGGGGGTAGATGAGTATTTAATGGCTACAGTATATGGTAGATGAGTATATTATGGCTACAGTATAGGGTAGATGAGTATTCTATGGCCACAGTATAGTGTAAAGGGGTATTTTATAGGGGTTGATGAGTATTTAATGACTACAGTATCGGGTAGATGGTTATTTTATGGAGGTAGATGAGTATTTTATGGCTACACTTTAGGATAGATGAGTATTTTATGGCTACTGTATAGGGAAGATGGTTATTTTATGGGGGGTAGATGGGTATTTAATGGCTACGCTATAGGGTAGATGGTTATTTTATGGGGGTAACTGATGGCTACAGTATAGGGTAGATGGTTATCTTATAGGGGGTAGATAGGTATTTAATGGCTACAGTATATAATTATATAGGGTAGATGGTTATTTTATGGCTACAGTTTAGGGTAGATGGTTATTTTGATAGGGGGTAGATAGGTATTTTAAGGCTACAGTATAGGGTAGATGGTTATTTTGATAGGGGGTAGATAGGTATTTTAAGTCTAAAGTATAGGGTAGATGGTTATTTTATGGGGGGTAGATAGGAATTTTATGACTACGCTATAGGGATGATGGTTATTTTATGGGAGTAGATGAGTATTTAATGGCTACAGTATATGGTAGGTGAGTATTTTTTATGGCTATATTATAGGGTAGATGGTTATTTTATAGGGGGTAGATAGGTATTTAATGGCTAAGGTATAGGGTATAGGGTAGATGAGTATTTATCTATCTACCCCCATAAAATACTTATCTACCCTATACTGTAGTCATATTATACCTATCTACACCCATAAAATACTCATCTACCCTAAACTGTAACCATTAAATCCCCATCTACCCCCATAAAATAACCATCTACCCTATCTAGCATAGCCATTAAATACCTATCTACCTCCCCATAAAATACCCATCTACCCTATAGCATAGCCATTAAATACCTATCTACCTCCCCATAAAATAACCATCTACCCTATCTAGCATAGCCATTAAATACCTATCTACCCCCCATAAAATAACATTCTACCCTATACTGTAGCCATTAAATACCTACCTACCCCCATAAAATACTCATCTACTCTATACTGTACGTAGTCATTAAATACCTATCTACACCCATAAAATACTCATCTACCCTATACTGTAGTCATATTATACCTATCTACACCCATAAAATACTCAGCTACCCTATACTGTAGTCATATTATACCTATCTACACCGATAAAATGCTCATCTACCCTAAACTGTTGCCATTAAATACCTATCTACCCCCATTAAATACCCATCTACCCCCATTAAATACCCATCTACCCCCATAAAATAAGCATCTACCCTATAGCATAGCCATTACATACCTATCTACCCCCCATAAAATGTTTAACTACCCTTTTAGTATACCTTTCTTATTGATACTGTATACCTATCTATGCTCAATACTATAAATTGAAAATTGATCGCAGATTCCTAAAATGTACTTCTGTGAACAGAATTTACTTACAATTATTTTGCAAAGTGTGATAATTAATAAATGAGATGTGATTACAAAATCATTGAAATATTGAAGCCTAGCTATTGCATTGTACTGTGAAAAAGGCTTATATCTCTATATAAAGTTTTTTTAATATGTCAATTTAAATTGATTGACCATTTTGTAACAATCAAAAATAGTTTGACATTATCCTATCAACATAAGGTAAAAAATACTGGATTTTAAACATCAATTAAAACATAAAAGAGGTGTTTTTTTTAGTACAAATCCGCAGTTGGATTAGGGTAAATTACATAACTAATCCTTTAAAAATAAATATTACTCACCAGTACTCTTTTAGGCCATTGCCTTTTGTTTGGGTCACTCTGCAAGAAGGTTGCAATCTCACCATAAAAATCAATTGCCATGTTGTACCGTTGCTGGATAAAGCATGTATGGTGACGTCCAAGTGACCAAGTAATATGTACATGTATACCTGACCAGCCACATTATAAACTTCTAATTACAAAAACAACATCTGTCAAATTCTCCATCACTGCCCATTCAGTGACCATCATCCCATTCACTAGGTGTTATCCAGTCAATTGTATCAATACTTGTCAACCATAGTTCTGGCATGGTAATTATAAGTCTAATCTAGTACACAAGCTTTAATGAGCTCATTAATAGTGAAATAATTAGGGTGTTGTTTTTAGAACGTTATTGTATATTGTGAAAATATGAATATCAGAAAAGTTGCTTTTACAATTAAAAAATGACAAAGAGAATGTAACAATTAAAAAAAACACCTGACATTTATATGTGCATATAAATATGTTAGCATATATTTCCATGAGTTGCATTAAAAAGATGAGCATAGAAAATTGTACAACTGATTTTGTTCATAACTTGTTGTGGGGTTGGGGGGAATGTCAGAACTCAACTATATTATCAAGAAAAATACAAAATAACATTCTCTTTTCCAATAACACTTAAAATACTGTACTGTATAAATCAAGTTCCTTAGCCAATTGTATAACTGAATTGTGTTTATTTACTTCTTTTTTGTTGGGGAAGAGGTCGATATATTAAAATGTCAGAAATCAACTGTGATATCAAGAAAATTTAAACATAACACTTCTTTTCACAATACACTCTACAAAATTCAGCATTCAGAGTACCAATGCAAGTTGCATTATTATAACCTTTTGTGAATTATCAAAACTTTAATGGTTTTTAAACTTCAGTGTATTTCTTTGTTTTAACTATCATTCATTATAATTAAGGCTGTTTATTTTCCTGTGTAAAGCTGAGCCACACCTGTGTGCTGGTCACCATGCAGTGTCACCTATCTCTCACCTGTATTGATAAGCCCCCAGGGTCCCAGTCCCCTCACAGGTGACACCCTGTGTATTATAATTACCTGGATAGACATACAGGAACCTTGTATTACAGGTAACATGATGTAATAATGCTATAAAGTTTGTATTTATGTAAAAAGTTTTGATAAATTTTAGGGGGGATGAATATTTTATGGGGGGGATGAGTATTTAATGCATTAAATATTCATCCGGATGAGTATTTTATGCATAAAATATCCATCCGGATGAGTATTTTATGGGGATGGAAATTTTATAGGACACCGGCATCAGAGAAATTTCAATGCTTCATGAACTTTGATTGCTTTTTAATTGATGTGTACTTTTACACTGTTAAGAAATGGATTTAATTAGCCAATGAGCCAGTCATGAGGTCGTGATATCGTGATATCTTACGCAAAACTTTCCAATGGTCCATTGCATTGCATAGTAAATATATCCTAATTTTGCAAAATTCCAATGAGTTATTTTTCTGCTGAATATCTTTATTTCCTAGGGTCCCTATCCTCCCTAATCACCGACTATAATATATATATCTGAACTCAAGGACTTACACTTTGGCTGTTACTAAACGAACATTAAAAAGAAGGTTTTGTTCCATTTTCACCAACGAAGTTACCCTTTAAAAAAAGTCTGTTTGAGAAAATATATAATGACTGGTCTAGTAATAAACATTTGCATATATGTCATCAACACAGAAACTTTGAAAACTACCACTGAAAGTGAGGCTGGGAGAAGCAAGTTATATTATATAAACAAGAATATTACATATTTCTTATGAATTGAAGTGTCTGGAATCTTCTTGAAACAGTTTTGTGACCGCTGTAAAATCAGTTCTGTCATTTGAAATTTGTTGAATAAACAATAAGTCATCACCAAAAGTGAACCCACAACAGTTTCAGAAGTAGATACTGTATTTATCATGAAAATAAGCCCACGTCTGCTAATAAGCCCACCCATGTCAAATACTGTTACTTAGTAAAAATGCTTACAAATGCAATTTGATTGTCCTGCAATAAATATAAGCCCACCCCGTACTTTGGGTCAGGTTTCACGTGTTGGCTCCCAAGGCTTGTTACAGGATAAATATATGATTAGTTTATGATATACTGTAATCAAAATTGATCACATGTTTCAAAGTTTTCTTGTGTCATTGTAGGAATGGGCTGTTTTTGGGGTGCAGAGAGAAAGTTCTGGAAACACTCTGGAGTATTCTCAACTCAGGTAAATGTTTTTAATGATCTTTATATTCTTTCCAGCTTTATTATGCCCCCGCCATCAAATGGGGGGGCATATAGTGTTGCCGTCCCATCCTGTCGCGTCCCATCCCATCCATGAGAGGCCCGTTTATGTCTTACAGACATTTTCTAGTTTTTGTCATGTTTGACATCTGAATAAGTCTAAATGTATCAACAGGTGATTGTTGGCTAGTTTTAGGTTGTTTAACATCTATGATCTGAATTCGTATCTAAATGACTGCTTCCAAAACTAAGGGAGGGTCGGCTAACTGCACTCACCTCCACAAAGTCAATCCTGGTTCTTAGTTAATAATAATATAAAGAACTAGCTCTGCTGTGAAATTATGCAGTTCTTGAGTATCCATATAGGCGAAATCTGTGAAAGGTCTGAATGTTTTATATAGGGAGAGGGGAAAGTTTATAGAACACAAAAATGAATGTTTATAATACTGACAGATAATATAAGGTTAAGCTGATAATGCAGTGAGTAGCACATGCTACCTTTCACCAAGACAACCAGGGGTCAATTTCCTGATCAAATGTGAAGCGATGGTTGGTCACCAGTTCAATTCAACCCCGTATATTTTCACTGGGTACTCCTGTTTCCTCACAAAATTAGACCCCCTGCACAGCTTCCATCAAGNCCCCCCAGCCCCCACTCACTACACACACACAACACTTTAATCTTCTGAGGACCAACTGTCTCAGTTTCATCTTCGTTCTTCATTGCATGTTATTTCCTGTTGGATGTCAGATAATGTGTAGAAAAGTCAAATTTTCCTCTCGGCTAATTAAGAGTTGTTTATTAGTTACATACAAGGAAAGGGCTCTTCTATCTTCAAGTCAATATTAAAACACGTTATAGCGAGTCCTGCAATGAGTTCCAACTTGTTTGTTGTCATACAACTTAAGTCAACTTATCAACTGCTTCTGATCAGCTCACGAGTACCTGGTCATGGTTTGATTAGCGACAATCATTTATTCAACTGGGTACGTTGGTCGAACGGTGACAGCCTTACTTACAACACCTCGACATTGACTATTATATCCCTTACTGATATTATCTCTCTGCCCTTGGCCCCGTTTTCAATTCTCTCTGTGACCTTGGCCTGTTAACTTGACCCTGTTTTAAATTATCTATGTAACGTTGACCCAAATTAACATTAAATCTCTGAAATTAACTTTTATTATTCTGTGACCTTGACCTTTATTTTTTTTCTGTGACCTTGATAATTTTGTTCAATGCTCTATGTGACCTTGGCTTTGATTAACATTATTACTTTGACCTTGACCCTGTTTAATAGTTTGCCTGTGGCCTTTAACTGTACCCTGAACCCTGTTACAGGTAGGATATGCTGCTGGTTATACCCCTAATCCAACGTACCAAGAAGTCTGCTCAGGAGCCACAGGACACAATGAGGTTGTTCGGGTTGTCTTCGATCCCAAGAAAACAGATTATGCAGAAATTTTGAAGGTAAATTAATTCCATCCTTAGAAATATTGACTGTAGGTTGAAAAGGAAGGCCTTTCATGACCGAATGTACATGTGGGAAGCTAGGCTAATGTTATGTTTATCTATAGTTCAAAAGGCATCAAAAGTTAAAAGTAGGCAGATATCTGATATACAATAAAACTTACACTTTCATTTAACGTCACCTTCACGAAAAACTACATTGCATGTTATTTCTCAGAGATAAACAGATGCATTCAACTGTTATGTCTATTCTACAGCAAAGGAATGTGATTTGTTGCTTCATTTTATCAATTCATTCTTTTCTCCAGTTGTTTTGGGAGAGTCACAATCCCACACAGGGAATGCAGCAAGGGAATGACCGGGGAACACAGTATCGTTCGGGGATATACTATTACAGCAGTGAGCAGCGAGACCAGGCTCTGGCCACCAAAGAAGCATATGAGAAAAAAATTATGCAAAATGGATATGGAAAAATAACGACTGAAATATTGTCAGCACCAGAGTTTTACTATGCTGAAGACTACCATCAACAATATTTACACAAAAACCCTGGCGGGTACTGTGGACTTGGTGGAACTGGCGTCTCTTGTCCGAGGGGAATCCTTAACTCCAAAGCAAAATCTGAATTATGATGCCTTAACTTTAAAAAAGTCTGCACAGGAAGAAAAAAAAAGCCTCACAGGGAAATGGTTTGTTTTATTGAATTTTATTTGGCTCCTTCCTTACTTCAGTGTTGTGAAGGAAATTGTCTAGTTACACATCAGGGATATTAATATTGTGATGTCAATGATACCATGATGTCATTGGAGGTATGACATCATAAGTATTATGATGTCATAAAATAGGTTATACTACAACTTCTGTGTTCTTCGCTAGACTAGAGTTGTAAGAGTGTAAAATCCTCTGATGTCAAGGTATCTTTTACGTCATACTATCCATGACGTTAGCATTTGTTATATGTACAGCCATTCAAAATACATATGACATATAATTAGACTTTTTCTCTTTGTGAGATTTAAGGAGAAGGGTTGGAAAATTTACTGTAAAGATCATTATTCTACAGAATTTAATTCTGATGATATTACAATTTTATTATGTATCAATAATGCAACATGTCGAGAGAAAAAAACCTCAAGAAATCTGCTTTACTATTGTAATCTGCTTAATAGCCTCTCATTGAATACATATATATCTAGAAACAAAACCTGAGCAATATACAATGTAAACAGAATTTGTATACATAATATATTGCAAACATAAATGCTAGTATAAATCAGTGCAGACTTGTTGCAATGTATTTATATCTTTTATTACATACTTACTAATAAATACAGGGTTTTTGTATTTGCGATACAACACAATTGCTCTAACCCATATCAGCCCTCACCGTATCGGCCCGCAAAACCCGTATCACACCCCTTTTGAACATTTTTCGTTTTTCAATATTTCAAAAGAAAAATAGATCATAAGATAGTAGATCATTCTGTATTTTATTATTAAGTTTGTAATAAACAGAATAAAACATGCCTTTTTCCATATCACACCCAGTATCAACCCTCGACCAATATCAGCCTTCAGGCCTTTTGCCCTCGGGCTGATATTGGAATCTCGGGTTGATACTGGGTGTGATATGGAAAAAGGCATGTATTATTCTCCATATTGAGTCACTTACATTTATGTTATTTATTTACATAAGTGCAAAGTGTTAGGGATATCATGATCATTCCACTTAATATAGACTTTTATTGACTTTTAGTATTTGCATCATTATTTTTGCTGTTTTTTTGTTATTTTATTTTTAAAAAAACAACTTAATAAAATATTTAGAGTTCTTCACATTATATACAGTTAATATATCAACTTCAAAATTTAATACACTTAAAAAATTGTTTCTATCTGTGTGGCTTAAAAGTTGTTCTATGACCATGCAATTTTATTATATAGATATGAGAGACAAGCATAAAAATGTATTTTTATGAATGAATTATTCTGGAACACATTTTGTTTTTCTTATTTAAACAGTATGTTTGATATTTCAAAGCTCACGGAGTAGTCCATTCTTTTCTATGTATGAAGATTTTTTTTTATATTGATTTTTAAAAACTTAGAAGCATGCATTATAAAGATATGGCGAGAATATACTGACTTAAAAAAAGTCTTGATATAATTTTCCGTGTATTGAGAATATGTACCGTAGTCTATTGTTCAAGCAGTTTTTATAGGATTGTCCTCATAGATAAACTGTTCTGTGATAGGGATAGTTCAAAACTGAGAAGTACATATAAAAAATATGACAAGAATATACATTGAATAATTTGATATAATTTTCATGAAATTGAGATCCTGTACCCTAGTCTGAGGTTTAAGCAGATTTTACAGGTGCCTCCACATCAATCCATTGTTCTGTGATAGTGAACTATGTTGATTTAAGCCTTGGAATGAGATGTTGCAGTGATCGTATTTGTATCGGCGCTAGTCTTCCTGAAACCTGACTTTCCCAACACATTAGCTTTAAGGTCATCATGTCATGTTGTTGATGTGATTTTGTGGCCCCAAAAGTCTTGTTTCTCCGTCTTTAACCATGGCTTAACTGACACACTGTCTTATTTAACCAATGAATGCAGTCATTTTGGTGTTTGTAGAGGCAGGTTTGGCAACGTATTTCACACAATATTCATGTTAATTCTTAATTTATTTAAGAAGTAATATTACTTGTTTGAAGTGTTTTATTAAATCAAAATTATCATCTTTCAGAGGTCTTTGTTTTTGTCTCATCTTTTATGCCACTGAAATAAACAGAAAGTCTACAGTGAAAACCTCTGTCTTTGACAAAATAATCAAGTGGTTACTACATCTGACCGTCTACGACCACTAGCCCTCCACCCCTTGGGCCGCGGGTTCGAGGCCTACGGAAATTGCCATCTACGTGTACGGGTACTCCGGCTTTCCTCCACCACCAAAACCTGGCACGTCCTAAATGACCGTAGTAGTAAAAAGGACGTAAAACACACAAAACAAACAAACCAAACTGGTTGCTAATTTTATTCGCGTTAAATCCTACTATTTATTGTTCCCGCGGGTTTTTTTGCCGTTCTTAACCAGCTTAATACTGATTTATGGAGGTTATTATGTACAAATTATTCAGAAAAAGTGTGCCCAATTAAAAAATAAACCCGACTTGAACATATTTTTTTTTTAAGTTGATGATGAATAATTATTTACTTCATAAGTATATAATAAGGGCATTTATAACACAGCGGCAACGCCATAATATTAAGAGAAACGAAAAGAAAAACATCGTCCATCCCGGAGACGAAATCAGGAACATGCGGAAGCCCTGGAGGGACATTTTTAGTTACCACTTATTTGTTAGTACTTATTTGTTATTACTTATTTGTAAATAATAACAAATAAGGAAGGAAGCATTTCCGGAACCCGTCGTGGTATACGTACAGAGATTGAAGATACAGGTGAAAAAATCATTATGTGCATTCAACCTTACGTAATAAGCAGTTTAAAAAAGCCCAGATTAAATAATTTATAAATATATTTTCATAATTTTATTTCACACTTTGCTCACAAAATATTTCATTGCGAACATTACTAAACGATAAAGCAGACTCCGTGTTCAAAATAGCGTGAATGAGGAAGAGTCTATATAACAATGACAGCAATATAAGGAGGGATTAGCCGAATAGTTTCCTTTTGGTATAGTTATAAATGAATAAAATATTTTTGAAGTTTGAATGAATGAATAAAATTATGGTTTGTTGACCCAGTTTGAGTGTCGTCGCCTTACACATAAAATACGCACTGAGACTTTAATGTTGACTTCACACTGTGCTCTATACGACAAACTCATTCAGCAATTCAACGTTTTTCTACATGTGTATAGATGTTGACGATGGACTCAGTGCACCATGCATGTCTTCAATTGCAGATTAACACAATTTATGGCGCGACCATTGTTACGCTGCACGAAATGATGACGAAATAGTAAAATTTATTTTCAGAATAATAGCGCGTGCATAAAGACACCTATATATATATATGTTTAATCATCATTTACATTTGAAGTGTGTGAGAAATACAAATCTTGCACAAATCTACCTAGATACAATTGTATAGTTCGTGAATACAGCTAAACACATTTTCTCTAGACTCTCGTTTACATTTTATCTCAGGCTCACCTTCTTATGAATTGGCAAGAGATCTAACGGAAAAGTACAAGGTTTATCAGTTTTTGATTTATTTGATTTAAACATAATTTTATTTGCATTTAATATACAAAAGGGATTGGACACAAGTTGTCCAACTTATGTAAAGCCCTTTCCCTATAACATTATGAAATATATATATACAAGATGGCAATTTTGAAATTAATTAATATTTTCAATTAAGTTTAGTGTTACTGACAGAGAGAGAGAGAGAGAGAGAGAGAGAGAGAGAGAGAGAGAGAGAGAGAGAGAGAGAGAGAGAGAGAGAGAGAGAGAGTGGGAGATAGAGATGGGGGAGGGGGAGGGGAGAGGTAATAGCTTGAAGATATTTAATTTGAGATCGTGGTAGTGATCTTCTCCGACACAGACGGCACTTGTAACACTGTCCACTATTCAAAACACTATGCTTTTCTTATGTCATCACTTCCCGTGCCTCTGTTGCCTTCTCCTTGTAAATTCGATTCCTTCTGGTATTTTCGTTTCAATAGTGCCGTTTGTATCGGGGAAGACCAGGAACACGACTCTTCAACATTTAAGATAAAATGATCAGTTGAATGATAATAATTTATTTCCGGCGATCGATACAACTTGAGACAGTATGGTAACTAATACAGGATGCTATGCTAAATAAGGATCACACGCACCACACTGCTGTTTCGGCCTTCTTAGGACTAATCGGTGTTGATATAGGGGCCATACAGATACAGTCCTGACTGGTATAAACTATATCGCTGAAACAGAAGTGGAAGTGCACAAAAACTCTCTGAATTTTATGAATTTTAAGAAGTACTGGTTAACTTCAAATTACTTGACAACTAAAGTTTGTATATTATCAGCCGCGCCACTTCCAAAAAAAACTACCACACCATTACTGCGACTATCAAGGTTATACGACTGTCGGCAAACCTCGGGGACTTGTGTAAAGAGGTTTGCCGATAGTCGTATACTACAACTACAAATGTAGGTTCCTCTTAGTCTGTTATTGTGCATGTTTACTTTTGAGACTGATGGGATTATAAAATTGCTGACAGGCAGCCATCTTGGATCTTGGAATATATATGGAGTAGCATTTCCTGTTTATAGTTTATATAAACTCGGATTTCTTGCATATTATCTATATAATTGTTTTCTTGCGTATTATATTTATGAAATCACACTCCTTGTTTATGATCTATACGAACTTACTTGCGAAGAATATACATATATTAACTCACCTGTTTTGAGTATAATGAATATAGAATCGCACTTCTATTTTATGATATGAATGGAAAAAGTAAGAGTCAAATGATCTGAAGCAAAAATAATCTCATATCGAAGCTTAACAATATATCTTCAAATTACTTGGTTTACCACAAAATGTTACAAATAATCCATTAATAACCAGTCCATAACATAATTATAACAAGAGCTGCACAACGTCAACAAATATTCATTAAAATCAGATTGAGTGAGTGATATCGGTCACGTGGTGAGCTCCTGCGGCTCGTCACATCAATCACGCCGTACACTTCTGCGGCTTGTCATGTTGATCACGTGATGAGATTCTGATGCATGTCATGTTGATCACGTGATGAACACCTGCAGCTGGTCACGCCGTGATCTTTGCCAACTCGTCCTCCTTCAAGGCAATAGCGAGCATGATCCCCGAGCCGACACAGATCCCCATCATAGTGAAGACAAGATTGCGCACGGGGTTCTTGGTAGGGCTGCTACTTATTTCTGGAAGCTACAATAGCACAAAAATAATAATAAGTAACATTATAAATAAAACAAAACGTATTTTTTAACAAATATAAGAAATATAAAAAGGATTTACTTGCATTTTTTTTTTTTTTTTTATTTAGTTCTGATATTTCTGTTTTCATAATTCATAATATCTATTTATTATATGTAGTACAATTTATCTTTACATTATGGTAATAAGTGTTTTAGATTACTTAAGGATTAATGATTAATTCACTTATTAAAATATCTAATATAATTTTTAAGTTTTTATTGTAAGTATTACCTTAAATTATTTTCTATATTTGCTCTTATTTCAAATATATTTCAAATTATACTTAATAATATGTATCGTTACCAAAACCTTATTTTATTATGGATGAAGTTAAGTTTTCAAACATAACAGTTTTATTTTATAAGATAACTTATAAAAAAATAAACATTTCGATGTAATTGTCACTTGAAAAGTGACAAAAATAGTAGCGTGTGCAATATTTTCTGCACAATGTTTATATATAGTACATTTGGAAGGTATTAGACTTAAATTATAAGAATATTTTAGTGATTTTTATTTCACACTTCATGCTAACGTTTTATCCTGCATCGAACGTGTTCATTAAAAACATATTTACCAATGATGTCTTTTATAAAACATGGTTATGAATATGATATAAATACCAAACTACTTACCATATCAACCAGTGATATATATATGAACATTCCGGCTACACAGACGAGTATGTAGAATTTGATGCTTGTGATGTTGCCCATTGCAACTCCCACCAAAACGCCAATCATCGACAGAGCAGACGACAAACAATTGAAACCCAGCGCCTGTCTGATCGACATCCCTTTCTTAAGTAGAACGGCGAAGTCGCCTATGGGGAAAAAAGAAAACCCAAACTCGATTTGACGTCATGACCCATTCCAAGAATTTAGAGAGAGCATACCCCTGGATTTCTAGGATGTTTAATCTCATTTCCTTGATTTCGCTCATAATCAGAAATAAATCAACAACAACAACAAAAACAATCACAAAAACAGCGAAAATTCTAATATTGAAAGAAGGTTAAAAAACAAACACTAGTTTAATCAAGACAATCGGCATTAAGATGACTCCTTGTCCAGATAATGTCTCCACTTGTGTTGCTTTCCTTATATTTAGTAATACTTTATGATAATATTTGTTTTCATTCAAATTTCACAACTGAGGAAGATTTGTGAAAAATTATATGAGGACGATCTATATATCGTTTTGTTATTTCTGTCCACAGATAGTCACAAAGGCAATTTAATTATTTAAAGATCCACGATAGTTACCTATTTCATGAGGAAGTTCGTGACAAAGCACTGCTATGGCCGTACTGAGTCCACTAGTGACACTGTCAGCGAACGCAATTCCGATGGCGAGCCCGTCAATAAAGTTGTGGACGCCGTCCCCTACAATCACGCGCCACACCATGGCCCCAGTTGACGTGGGCAGGTCGTCGTGTCCATGGCTGTGAGAATGACCATGAGAGTGCGAGTGACCTAAGTATTCTTTCTCGTTAGCTTCCACTTTTTTGACGCTCACAACCTTGTCTATAATCATGTTGCCCTCCTCATCTGAAAGTATGATATTGAATATGTGTGTAAACAAACGTGTGTCAATAAGTTCAGCAGGTACGTTACAATGATAATCAATAGTCAGTTCGATTTTTTATTTTTTTTATGTGCATTTGTTTTGAAGTCCGAGTTATGAGAAGATATTAATATTAACTTGTAAATTAATTCACTAACAACGTGTGTCACTCTTTTTTTATGTACATTGTAATTGAATACAAAAAATGCAAAGCATTAATTTGCTCTCAATGGTTGTTATCCCAAAAAACCTCGAGCACACAAGGAAATCGGGTTACATAAAGAAAATATTTGACGATGAACGTTGTTTCGTCAACATAAATGTCCTGTCGTGTTGAAGATTGATTTGAATATCGACCGAGGTTTGTTCTATAGACATGAATGTGACGTTTGTACACGATGGAAATTACAACGCAAGGATTATATTCATGTAAGTAAGTAATATAGTTCGACATGAATATTCCACTCGGAAGTCATCACAAGTACATAAAACCCCTTTTTTATATTTGCCCACAATTGAATCATACATGGAACTTTTGTACAGACATATATATTAATTAGTTCACCAGTAAAAGTCATATTCTCTGAGTGTTTATTTCACATGTAATTTATTGTTTGGCAGGTGGAATGTGCTGATGTTCGCTGTTGTGAAGAATATGCCCTCAATAGAGATGGGCAAAAAAAGCAGAGTTAAACTGCGGTAAACATTTCCTGGTATACAGTGGGTCATTGTGTTCTAAACATACCATGCATTGTTCCGATTTAATACTTTAAGAAAGGGATAAAGAAGCACGCATTGCATTACATAATTATATTTGTGTTTAAAATCGTATTTGATGATACTTTAACTCTATTTTAAAAAAGTTTAGCAAATGTAAACAAGAATGTCATTCGTCACTTTAATGCTTTCGCATTGAAACATGACCTCTATCGACACCCGACTTACACTGGTATCACTTAATTGCCTTAAAAGACTCGTTTCGTTGCCTGTAATGCTGATTCAAATTCCAGAAAAGGATTCAGATTCTAAATTGATATCAGTTACGACAGGTGTCATTGTTTCAAACACGACTTTTTGTAAACGTCAATACTCACTTGGCGCTCTGATCACCATGGTTACACCAAGAGACTCCAAGTCTTCCGATTTTTCTTTTCTTTTCTGCAGATATATTTCAATCTTAAATTAATTGACAGAGAATGGTTAATTTTTCAAACATTGCTTTCTTTACTTTCTCATCAAAATTTATCATTTAGTCTGAATACATCTTCAAACATTGTTTTCTATACTGTCTCATCAAAGTTTCCTATTAAGTTTTAAGACAGAATAATACAATGTCAGGTCAAAATTCTTTCTCACTAATCAAGATAACACATTTCGTATTAACTTCTTCCTCATGCTGATTTCCCGAAATGTGTTTACTATGTTTGGATACATTGTGTAAAAATGAATATATCATATAAATTAAAATGTAAATTTTTCAGTCATGAAAAAACTCGCCTTCATTTTCCTTATACTTGCTATGTCCTGGATCCTCCCAAATAGAAAAAAGAAATAGAAAATAGACAGTCCTGCCAAACCCTTGAAGACGCCATCCATGTCGTGAACTTCGCCGGAACCATGATCGTGACCATCGGACGAGGACAGTGCCTAAACCAACAACAAATTGCGATTACATACTCATCATTTATTCGCTATGATAAGCGTTGGTAGCCTATGTACAGGTTTAGTACAACTTAGACGTAAGTCAGGCTCGATATATGCCACCATATTTAAATGTTCTATATGTTCCTATAATTCAGACAAATATGAAGTTGATGTTTGAAAATAGCAAGACTTAAAGTTCCAATACCTAATGCCTGTTACTTTCCCTTTCTAACCAATTTGCAAATGTTTGCCTTTATGATCATTCAGGTTACGTCTGTCCCTTTCGAAACTCGATTTTTAGCTTACGACATTTATCTCGAAAATCGTGATATTTGGAGATAGTCCCTGAATACCAGAATGTGAATTTTGAAGGTTTTACGTCCGTTATTACGGCCTTGCGGCATTTCAGTAGACTAGTAAAAAAATACCATACTAAATGTGACACTTAAATACCGTTGGTGGGAGTCAGGAATGTTATCATCAAGAAAGAAGAAGTTCATAACCAGAAACTCAAAAAGTTGACGAAAACCATGATTTATTTCATCACACAGTTAAAACGATTGCATGATAAGAATCACGGTTAATTACATACGTATAAAACAAAGCATTGTTACCACCAAAAACGTTATGGGGTAATGAGGAAATCAAAGTTGATGTTGCATTTTTCTAACCTTTGGAAATCATAGGAACATCGTCTCCAATGTATGTCGTTTTATCACCGGTTCAAGTGCTCTGACAGTGGATTTGATACAAGCTAATATGAATTTCTCAGTATATGTTTGCTTGCTACAGTTCTTTGATTATATCTAACATATAACACAGATTGCACTTACGTGGGTTGAAGATGTAACTTACGTGGGGTAGAAGATGTAACTTACGTGGGGTAGAAGATGCAACATGGCGTCCCCTGTCAGCGCCCCGACAGCCATCGCCACCAGGAAGTGAAGGAAGTTCTCAACAAAAATATGGTGTAGAAGAGACAGGATGCCCACACAGATCAGGCCCGACAAACTGATGACCACGATGGAACCACAAGCATACAACCAGGCTGTTTACAGTCAATTATACAAATATTACCACGTTGTTTATAGTAAAATATGCAAACATAACCACGCCGTATATAGTAAACAAGAAACCCTGAGGGTCTGTATCGCTCACCTGGATATTTGAGCAATCATGGGAAAATGTTCTTAATAAAAGGACTTTGCAAATATTACCATATATTGAGTCTCCCTGGTTTCAGGGCCTTCTGTTATTGCAGAAGAAGCTGTTGAAAGATATTTACATATTTGATCCATGTGACCGTGATAATAGGTCAAGGTCATTTATTTTGGAAAATTTTATAGCGCTCTGTCTAAGATACCTACTGGCCGAGTATCATTACTCTAGGCCTCCTGGTTATTCAAAAGAAGTTGTTTACAGGTTTCTATTACTTTTTAATCTTGTGACCTTGACAGAAGGTGAAGGTCATTAATCTAAGGAAACTTTATATCACTTTGTCCCAGGTACGTACAGGCCAAGTATCATAACTCTGGGCTTCCTGGTTTTTCAGGAGAAGTTGTTTAAAGCGTTTTAAACACTTTTTAACCTTGTGATCTTGAGAGTATGTCAAGGTCATTTATCTTAGGAGACTTTATAGCACTCTGCCCAAGGTACCTACTGGCCAAGTAGCATTACTCTGTGCCCCCTGGTCTCAGAAGAAGTTGTTTAAAGGTTTTTACATATTTAACTCCTATGACCTTGAATGTAAGCCAAAGTCATTCATTTGTGGAAACTTTATAGCACTCTGTCCGAGGTATCTACTGGCCAAATATCATGACGGACGGACGATGGACAACGGACAACACATCATGCATGTACCACAAGCTCATTTGACACTTCGTGTCAGGTGAGCTAAATATAACCGTATAAAGTGAAATATAGACATAAAACCACGATATGCATAGTGAAGTATAAAAATATTACAATGATATCAAGGGTAGATAACTATGTACTGTATACAAAAAAAATCACAAACAAAAACAAAAACAAAACAGATTGCAATGGGACAGTGACAGCGATCCTTAACAATATTATTTTTGTAATGCACGTTTTGTTCCGACCCTTGCTGTATTTTCGCGGCATCCGTCATACTACGTACGTTTCATGGTGCCCGTTTCGTGTTTAACGAATTTGCAGAAACCTCATTTTTCACCGAATTAATAGTTTTTTTGACATAAAAGGATCTGACAGCGGGAAATGCATAGATTATTCATTTTTCCAATCCCTAACCTCTTAACACTCACTCGTCGCTCGTTAGTGACGCTACACGTATGCGGCCAATCAAGCGTTACTAGCGGGTGTATGCGACAGAAGTAGGTCCTACGTGCAAACGTGTTTAACGCTTCTTCAAATTAAAACATCTCTTTTATAACATGAATTATGCAACACATCTTACGTGAATGACCAGCTATCGAAGTTAAATAACATCAAAGTCACCACTTCATTCATAGAAACGGTGGCAGGTCTGAGATCAAACGTGTATTATCGACGTTGGTTTTGAAAATCAGTATAATTATAACCAATTTATGATAAATTTTACTATCGATATCTGATATTTATAGGATACTGTCATAAGAAACGTTTATAATATTTATTTATTTCATGTTTTATACTTATATGTAACAGTGAAGTTTTTGTACGACACACTGTTTTCTATGAGAAGCTAACAAGACTTTTCGTTTTATTGTAATTTCTATATCAAATCTACATAATAAAACTAACGAAGCGCTTTTCAATAAACGAAAATTGGTTATTTATGAGCATCCTTAGACGGGCAAGGACAACCTCGTCTCGGCGTTTTTTTTTCTATAGCTGGGTTTTACAGAGTGTCATCTGTTGTCTATGGATTTATTTCAATTAGTTTGTCACTGTGACCTTACAACATTTTTTATTAACGGTTTAAAATCTGTAAAATGAAGTTTAAAATCAACAGTTTAAAATCAACAAAATCAATCACATTGAGCCGCTTTGGCAGCGCGATCTGCATTTTAATTTCCTGAAATTCCTGCATGTCCGGGAAAACCGGCATAATGTAATTTGACATTTAGAGGTCGTACAATGTAATAATATTTAAATTTTACTAATTGAAATATTTATAAAAGTTTTGTTACGAAGACTCTGTAGAATGTGACGAAAATTGAATGCGGTACATTATCTGATTTCATATCTTCGTGGGCGAGATATATAGTGTGGGCTTCTGCAGATAACATTTATATTAATTGTAGCGATATGCATTATGATCTCCAAGAGGATAAAATAATCCAAAGTACCTAAAATCAAATCTGAAACACGTGTATCATGACAAAAATCACGTCTGGCCAACATCGGTGCCGCGGAGATAATGATGCGATTAATTAAATGAAATTAAACTCGAATATTTGTATCCAGTTGACGGGCATTACTACCAATTAATCAAACTTTTACTTGTTTATGATAAATGAGTATCGAATAATTCATCTTGACATTTTGAGCATTTACAATGACAGAATAACGAGGAAGACGGCATTAATACACCCGGATTATATCTCATAGCTACGAGAGACTCCATAGTCTTGTTAAAAGTATGAATTAAGCCCGAGGGAAATACTCCATAACTTCACTTTTATTGGGCCTTTCATTAGTTTGACTCAAACTAATACAATGACATTCCAGCAATGCAATATACATCCATTTATAACACAGAGAACATCCTGACATCTTACCATATGTCAACCGGCAATGCAGAAGAAGTGTCAAAGTTATTTTGTAAGTAAAATGATGCTTTGTTTTGAAAAACTTTTCTGTTTATCCGGGAAAATCATTTAAGATATATATATATATATATATATGATATTGAATAAGACTTCATCGACCGTGTCAAAGGTTACGTCAATATTCTGATAAAGGCACAGCCGAACAAAGTTTTTGAAAGTGGTTTCGTATATATACCGTAGTGAAATGAATGTAGTTATATAGTAATGCATCTTAAAGAGTATTTTGGTAAACAGCGGAACTGTCATTGTGTTAATGCAAATATCAAAGATTAGTAACTAGTTATATTTCAGAATTGGTTCTGGTCTAACCGCGTAAGCATAAGACATAGACAAAACAAAAGAAAACAATACAATATTTTAATATTGTTTTAAAAAAATATGTTTTTATAACATATGTTCTAAACCTAATACTGTCATTAACATTCACTAGAAAGAAAGGCTCTGAACTGCTTATGCTTATATGAATTTTTAAACGTACAATTCTGTTTAAATGGAATGCAGTAACAATCGTTATCTATAATTGTTTATAGCAGCTGGTCGTATTTCATGTCATATTCATTTAATATTTCTTCAACTAAATTGAGATATGAACTTATACATGGATTAAAATTCATCTTATTTAAATGTGTACAATATTTCTAATTTTTCAATTCTTTGAAATATATTGTAGTAGCCCACTCCGTTTAAGTGTCTGGGTGCATTCGAGTACGCCAATACACGAGTACATAACAGTAACATTTATATGAAAATTATAAGTGTAAACTTTATGAAAAATAGACAAGTAAAATCAATCAACATTTTTCATTTTTTTTCAAACTCATATTTGAGGTGATAAGTTACCCAGTGAGGTAAAAAATACGTGATGAATATACATAAACACTTAAAAATCCCCTACAAGTGACGTTAAATATCTGAAATAGCCTGCGGAAGGATATGTATCTAACACATTTAATGTGACGCTGTACCCTCGAGAGTCGAGGTACATGGACCTTGTTACATTAAGTAGCCTGGATAAACAACATCGAGGCGCTCCACGGTTTAGAAAAGAAATTTGATAACAGATATATCATTACAGCTGCATGTATGCGGGTATATTATCATATCCTGATAAAGCCAGAGTGCGCTGGGGTTAACGCCGATTTCATTTTCTGTCATGGCATGATAACCTTAAGTTGATTTTTAATTATTCCCCTTCCATGACAGTGAGTATTCGTAATATAGTTTATGATGTTTAAATTGCTGATAGGCGTAGTTTAAGAGTAATTCGATTAAAAGTCGTAGGGCTATTTGAACAAAAAGAATACCTTTATGTTTTTGTTTATTTGTTGTATCTTTTTTTTTTTTGGGGGGGGGGGGGGGGGGGGGATCATATGAGGATGGGTGCCTAGGGAGACACCGCCTGAAACAGAAAGTAGATAGAACAGAAGGACATGGAAGAAAGGTAAAGACAAAGATCCCGAGTGTTGCAATGAAATAAGTTGTCGTTTTAATGTCATAAAACCAAATCAAAGTCTCCTAGTCTCCTGTTAACGACAAAGTAACATTTTTTTCTCTGCAGTTTATACAAGGTTTAAATAGTCAATATATAAGGATCCTTAATCAATCCTTCATCAGCGAATTTCGTCATCCGTATAATTGAATGAACTGACTGTACATATATCACGTGCTTGAAACGCGGTCATCCAGGAAATTAAATGGGCTGGTCGGGGAAAAAATGTCATATTTGCTAAAATGGCATACACATGTTTAAAATACCTTTCACAAATGAAGTCTCAATAACTATCCAGTAAATATGTTTTACGATTATTTACAGTGCAGTAGGTTTGTATTCCTGTAGATTTGAAAAAAGAAAACGTTATTTAAAATGAATAGGATTATACCTATTGCGGAAATAATTATGTAGTGGTAAATGCTATTTTGACAGACCCTGTACGTACTTCGAAGGTAAAGTGAATTACTGAATAGCTTTGGCGCAAAATACACTTATTTAAATTAATCTTTATCTAAACTTTAAAGGAAAATAAATCCGAATAGAACACCTTTAATATACCGTTGTGTATCATATGTTATAAAACGAAGACCTTAAATAAAAGCGTTAAAATCAATAAAAATGATATTTAGTTTTTCTGATTATATTTAAATCTTTGGAAAAGGCCTGCATTTTCCAGGTTCCTATTTGCTCTTAGAATATATGTATATATCAAACAGGAGGGGTATAATAGGCTTGGAAGGTCTTATGTTTGTTGAAACATTT